GGAAAGAAAAATCCTCTGACCCCATAACCCTTCTTTCAGTGCAGAAGCTTGGAGGCTTCTCCTAGAACTTCTGGATGCTTTTGACTGCGTCTCTCATAGGATACTTCGAGATCTATACTTCCCTCAAACTTACATAAATGTTCTTTTCAGAAATTGTTCTGATTTAGTGTTTGACAAATCGGAGAGACTCCTGGCCCCGTCTGTTCTGAGAAAATGTGGGATTTTTGAGGGTATTTCCTTTCTGAACTTTTGCTTACTTGAAAGCAGAAATCCTGTTAAAATATATTAAGACACAGTTGAATGTGTCTTTCTGTTCTACCTTGTCAGTGATATATGGAGAGACGTGGAGTTTTGTGCTTCGGATAATCAAATGGCTAACTAAACAAGGAAGCTGCCTTCTGCTGGAGCAATGGGTGAGTCAAACGGTAGTCTGCATGATGGGCTGACCTGTTCTTTCATGTCTTCTGTGAAATAATTTGCATTGGGCTCTTCAGAAATTTTCTGGCATTACTCAATACGCTTTTTTCCCCCGCCTCCTGCTTCTGCCACAGTGCTTGATAGGTTAGGACTAGCTCTTGGGTTTACGTAAGCAAGACATATATAAACATGCATGCACGCATGCACATAAATACATATATAGGTAGAGATAACATACATACTATTTATAAGCAGCAGGCATCACTGCCAGTGGAACAATTACTCTTCGCTGTGAGGACACACCTGGAGAAGGTAGGACATCAAATGCCAGTTTGGTGCTGGCATTCAGCAATTGTCTGTGGCCAGCACAGAGTTAGGATTTTCTAGGGGTTTAAAAGGCATATAACTCTGTCACCACTTCTTGGAGGCTGAAGATGAGATGAAACTGTCCTCTAGGATCAAATGGGTGTATTAGTTACATGACGCTGCTGGCCATGCTGAATGCAGCAGCAGCTGCTGCTGTACTTTTCTCTGGAAGTGTTGAAGGGAAAGGCAAAAAGTTCATATCAGCAAACATGAGAAGAATGGGTGTGATGTAAAGCAACTAGATGAGCTGCGTCAGCTGCCCTGCATGTCACAGCTCCAAAGCTTCTGCCTGCCAAATGGTTGGGAACACGGCTGGTGTCTTAGCTAAACCAGATTTTGTGCATCCTTGTTCTCTCAGTTTTGCTGTTTAGGGGCAGTTTAGCTGATACTTTATCACAAAGTATTCTGCAGAGATCAAAAGTTTGATCTGACTTTAAAGGGAGTTGTGGGCAGTCAGAATCTCTAATGAGATTTAGATTGGATATTAGGAAAAAATTCTTCATGGAAAGGGTAGTCAAGCATTGGAACAGGCTTCCCAGACAAGTGGTGGAGTCACCGTCCCTGGAGGTGTTCAAAAAATGGGTAGACGTGGCACTTTGGGACATGGTTTAGTGGACATGGTGGTGTTGGGTTGATGGTTGGACTGATGATCATAGAATCATAGAATCATAGAATGCTTTGGGTTGGAAGGGACCTTGAGAGATCATCGAGCCCAATCCCCCTGCAGTGATCTTAGAGATCCTTTCCAACCTTAATGATTCCTAGTTTTTACTTTCATTAAAAATAATCCAGCGACCAAGCCAGGAAACATGAAATTGCTACTCTACCCTTAATTGGTTTAGTGGTGGACTTGGTAGTGTTAGGTTAATGGTTGGGCGGGATGATCTTAAAGGTCTTTTCCAACCTAAACGATTCTATGATTCTATGATTAGGATGATTACGAATAGGATGTTGTAATGTTAAGTGCTAAAAGACAGATCTTGAGTAAATGGGATTTTAATATTTCCACTGATTTCGATGTAGCTTGGACAATTTACACAGCAAAGAATATGTATTTTAAATTCTCAACCAGAGTCTTTAAAAGTGAATCTTTGCTCAGAGAGGTATCGTTTGAAGTTCTGAAAGCTACCCAGGCATTTTTGCTACAGACTTCTTGTTAACATCAGTGGGAGGCTCTGGGGCAGATTCACCTGTCTGTACGTTCATTCATTTTGTGAGAAAACGCAGTTCAACGCTTCTTTTCAGGATATTTCTATTTGCTAAAAAGCCCACGTGAAGAGCAGGAGTCAGCTTTTGAGGTTTTATTTCTGAAATACACGCCTATGTTTAATCAAAGACTTGACGTACCTGCAAGTGCTGTTTTCATACTGTGTGTTTAGAGACTAATAAAGATTAACAAAGCCTAATACAGTAACATTTCCATTTTGACTAATGACTGCTAATTTCTGGAGCTAATGTTCTGCTGTATTATGAGAATGGTTGTAAAAGATGGCCCTGCATCGTTTGTTCTGCTAAAATTTATTATTTTGCATGCAAACATTTGCTCTGTTCCACGCAATCAGGAGTGGCTCCTCAGCCCAGATACAGATTGTCTTCCTTAAATCAGAGGAGCTGGGCTGAGCTCTGTCAGCTCCAGGTTTAACTCTCGAATTGCCCACTGCCTCAGTGTTGCCAGAGACAAATCCTCTCCTAGAGAGAGTAAGAGGCTCTTGGAGAATTCTTTCATGGTCCAATCACTTTTACTAGAACTGAAGGATTTTCTGTGGATTCTTCAGATTCTTATTTTAAGACTTAGGGAGGAGGCCACTTCATGGCATCTAAGATGCTGAGAAAGATCAGGGGACATCATAGGATGCTAATGTAGTGGAAGGACTTACATCAGGTGGCAAACATTAACTAGGGGAGTGTTCAAAGAATAGAGAATCAAATCCATCCAACCTACTGGTCACGGCTTCCATCTAAAGCTTTTAACCTCTGCCTGCTACACTTGGCTGCTTTCCCTTAGAAATTATAATTGCTGGAAGAGACATGCACACACTCTGCTCCACCCATGCCAGAGGACACAGTGGGACACTGATTCAGTCTGGTTCGGTAACATTGCTGCGTGGAGTACAAGTGATTTCTAGGTATACTTTGGCTAGTTGTATACAACTGTATCTGGCACTTGCTCGTACACGTGACTGGGGCCAGACAGCGGGCAGGTTAAAACATGAGGTGGAATACTTGTAGCTAAGCAGTGACTGTTCACGACACATAAAATGCTTCATTGCCTCTTTTGTTCAAAGATTTCCAGGTGATTTGGAAAAGAGTTTAAAACAGTACACCTACAGGCAGGTTCAGTTGGGAGGTTTTCAGAACATATAAAGTAGCTGCATCATTGACTCTCAACACACACTGTTACAGTCAGGGCTTCTGGCTCAGTTTCTTGAAAATAAGGCTACATATTCAGGTGATTTAAACCTCCATGTTTGAAAGCATTGTTTTTTTCATACTATCCCTGGGTTTCAAGGCCTATCTATAAAGTTTAGTTCTTTTTCAAATAAATACCAGACTGAGGTGAGAACTGGTGAAGGGTTACAATGATTTTATCAGGCATTGTGGATGCTCTGCGCACCCAAAAAATAATCTCAAGTATTTGCTCTTCAGTGTAGCTCAAAGTATGTCAATCGCTCACCACTTTTTTTCTTAGGGAGCAGCAAAATGAGAAATTCTTCTTCATACATGTTTTGTCTGTCTATATAAAGTGCAGCCAGTCTCCAAGCTGTTTTCCTCCTCTTGTTTTTCTCTTAAAATCTATCTCTGTCTGTTGCTCATGTTGTTGTAGCCGTGAAGGTCAATGAATGTAAAAAGGCAAGGTTTGAAGGGAGAGACAGTATTTTTCATCTGGAGAAAAAGTAGGCGAGTTGTTAGGCACTTAAATGCTTTTTCAGATCTGAAATGTCTACTGCACAGTAGAAAATTGAATTTTTGTTTCCGGGCTTATATTTTGAAGATTTTCTCTTGGTTGCCCTTGAGGATCAAGCCTTGTGGATCAGTTTTAGAGTGGTTTTATAATAAATGAGGGCTCTGTGTGGGAGGATGGTGCAATCTGCAGTTGTATGTTTTCTCACAGGGAACGCGGGTGACCTTCAACTTCAGTGGTGGTAACAGTCAACTGGTTCCTAACTGAGACCAGTTTCCTTGGGTGCCTGGGGCAGTAATTTTGAGTCTCAGAGAGCCTCCTCTGCAGGGAAGCCTTCCAAATACTGTATCATTATGTCATGTGAACCATTTATTGAACTCTGTATCCCGATTCATTCTTGCAGTCCACACTGTAATGAGAAGGCTATGATTATGATCACCTTGTTACCGCTGATGGGTGTGATTTGCCTGCTGAGATTTTAATCATGATTTCTCCCAGGAGCCCACCACTTGCAGCAAAAGGTGATGGCTGCTAATGTTTAGCATAGCTGCTAATATTAAAAAAGGGCTATGAAATCACTCTTTGCTGTTTTCAGTGGGGCATGAGAAACATCTGTCTTGAACGTTACAAGAAAAAAAAAATTCAGCATGCAATTTCATGTGTGAATCTGTGGTAATCAGCAAGCTGGAATGTGATCTCTTGGGGGAGATTCTGTCATTCTCCAAAATGAGGCAAAAAGGGCAAAATAACCATTGGGGCGTTGTGAGTAATGGCTTTGTAACACCTAATGTATTCCATTTTTCTGTTAGCCTTTGGTTTATCTTGCTATTTTTCTTTTTTTGGGAGGGGAAGTAACCGCATGCCAGAATGTGATTCAATAAAGACATTCATGTTGCCGCATGTTATGAAAATATCCTGGAGAGCTTAAAATAATCCAGAGAGAGACTGAGAATAGCTGTATGTCTGTCTTCAAAGCCCCAGTAAAAGTCAATGGGGTCACTCATTTTGATTTCACTCAGATTACAGCGAATGTAAAACCTTAAAAAAGCAGTGATGGGTGCTAGATTAGAATCGGATGGGTCCCCCACTCCTCCTGGGAGTGCCACCCCCACACCCACCCCCACTAGCTAAAGAGAAAATTTTAAAAACCATGATTCAGTTGACTTTTTACACTTATTTTAATGATCAGGAATTCTTCTGGAGAAGACGCACCTCACCCCAAGAAACAAGGAGTTTCCAGCAGGATTGTGCAGGGCGAGATCCCTGCAGAATCCTCAGTGGAAAAAATTATCCTTGCATTACTGTGGACATTGCCATGCCTTGTTTGCCATTCTTGAAAAGAAAGGAGCCACCTGTGCCTTTGGGCAGGAGTATCTTTCAAAAACACACTCTACCCGTCCAGCAGAACTACCAGGCCTTATTAGAGACATGCTTGAAGAACAAATGCCTGTTCACAGATGACAACTTCCCTGCTCACATCAGCTCTATTGGAACAGGGGCACTGCTAAAGAAACTACCCCAAAATATACAATGGAAGAGGCCACATGTAAGTGACTTTCAGTGAATAATCTCATGTAAGAGGATGATTACAGCTGATAGCCAGCAAATAGTGTTTGCATTGAGTAGACTACTCTTAGACATTAATTTAGCTGTGCCTTAATGCCTCAAGAGATTACACTTATTGTATCAGCTGTCATTTTCGAAGCTGGAGTACATGGAGTTTCATAATTGCCTTTGAAGCATTTGTTGCCCCAAATCATAACCAGCCTCACTCAGTTTATATCCAATAATGCTCGGAGCAGGCAGGGAGAGCAGGTGAAAAGAGTGGGAGGAGCCAGAGTCCTTGGAGCTCAGAGCTCTGATGATCCCACCATGATTCCGTAATGACAGTTCTCATGGTGATGATTCCTCTCCCCAGAATTCAACATCTTGACCTTTTAGAAGATTTCTGAGTTTCTAGCCAGTTCTTAGCCTTTGACTCCTCTCCCATGGACCACACACCGTTGTGATCCTGGAGGCTGCTACTTTCACCGGCAGCAGCAGCAGGTGCCTTATCCTCTTGCTGGGATGTTTTTTTCCTGCTTAACTGTTTAGTCTATTCTTTATTGTACTTAAAGCAGTCTTTTCACAGCTCTCAAGGTTGTGCTTCTGCCACAATCAGTAACTGACTATCAGTCAGTGAGTTGTTTTTAGTTTTGGGACCTCTGGTTTCTACTTGTGCCCATATTTCCAAGGCCTTTGCTGGTATCTCATGCTTAAACTGAACATCACAACAAGAGACATCTGGTACCGAGTGCTGGCCACAGAGCAAGTTCTCATAACAAATGGATAACAGGTCTAGGAGGCCAGGACAGGGGACTGGGACAGTTAGATAAGGCCTGTTAGCTCTGGCCTGCTACTAGCAATGGCAGCTCTGTTCTCACTGAGCCACTGAGCAAAATATTGACAATTAGATCTTCTTGAAAGCAGTATATAGAATTATCTGAGAATTTCAGTAGCACTGACTCCTTATTTTACCGTGTCTGTAAGGGAATTCTGCCAGGAAATAACAGATAACGTCTCGTAGCTAAGTTATTTTCCAGCTGTCACATTTTGTCAGATTTAACCAATTTCTCAGAAGGGCTGAGTTTCTGCAAAACTCATGAAAATCACTGGGAAGGTAAAGGCACCTTTGCAAATTTTGCAGGAGAGCTTGGGAATAGCAGCCCTGGTTCTCAGATTTTCATATGCAGTTTGGTCTCGCAGATGGTTTGTGTTAAGTCAGGATCTGCAGATGGAAGAAGAGTGCAGTCCTCGCAGGCCTGAGCTGGGTTGTGCCAGGCACTGCGGCTGAGGCAGCTATATCAGCATAGAGGGATTTGGGAGGGAAAGGTCAGCATGAGTTCTGGCCTCTACAAAGCCCTTCAGGTGTCCCTCCACCCCAGAGATACTGGAGTGGGCTTGAAACTTCCGCTGTGTCTCAGTCCACCATTCTGCTCCTCTAAAACTGCCTCATGAAGAAGGCTGCCATTTGCTCTGAATGCCAAACTTAACCCAGCAAAGGCTCTCTGAGGATGTATGCTGTGCATCCTTCAGTCCCTGTGCTGCAGAGGAAACTCTGAGATTCTGCCATTCAGCCTGCAGGCTTGTAGCTTGCTGCATCTATGACTGATGGCCTGCAAACTGAACACCCAAATTCACCAAGGATAGGGGTTGGTGTCTAAATACTGTAACTGCCTTCTGAGGGTTTGCTGTTTCTCTGCTACTGCCTGCAGGGGAAGCCAACAGTGTGAAAATTAACTTGAGCAATTTGTGGGTCATTAGAGTGAAAGTAAGTTTGACACTTAGGTTATTAATTTGACCCCAGAGGCACTTGTGAGCAAAAAAAAATAACAATGTAATTTCTCTCTGAACAATTATTCACAGACCCACTCTTGTCACAGCAACAGGAACTTCTGTAGCAGCCATCAGTTAGTCTGTAGCTCAGTTGTCAGTCAAATCATGGAGATGTCAGCCAGGTTAGCTGAAAGTTTGAACAGTTATACTCTGCCATTGTGGCCTCTTTTGGCTGAAACTTGTCAGGAATTATGGAGGAGCAGGGCTGGCAGGTCTGAAGGGTTGTTTTCTCAGCGAGGTCTTTGTGGAGACCCATGGTGATGCATCTGAGCACCAGTGGCTTATGTTGGAGACCAAATTCAATGTAGACCAAGCACAAATGTGTGCTCAGGCTTGTGTCAGGTTAGCCAGTGCACATGATAACACTAGTTACACCTGAACCAGAACAATGTCTGCTGGGACAAAGGGACCCTAAGTGTTTTGAAAGCTTTCAACAGGCAGAGGGAGAGTTTTGTGTCACACACCCATGAGGTTTTTACATCCTAGACTAGGAACTCACTGGGTCTCCCATCTTACGAGATTGCAGCTCTGCATGCAGAAGGTCCTTGACTTCTAGCTAAACCAGGTCATGTTACTGACTTGACTCTCTCTTTTCTTTTTGGTTGTGTGCTTCCCAGGCTTTGCACAGAAGACCAATGTTTTATGCTGCAAACAGAAAGCAACTTGATCTTTGCCAAGGATTGGTGGGTAAGGAAGTTCCTTTGTATACATGTCTAAGTATTCTTATACAAGATAATATTTTGTGTGGAATTTTGATTATAAAACTTTGCATAGAAATAGAAGGTGCACATATCCTTGTCTCTTCACTTGGCATGGTGTGGATGAAGCAATCATTAAGATGGGATAGGCTCAGTAAAAAACTGGGCAAGCTTCAAGGTGGGATTTGATGTGTGGGGTGAGAAGTGTCTCCACAAGCTGAAATCGCCATTCTCTGTGCTGCTTCTGTGCATGCTAGTACTGCAATAGCAAGTGATCCTGTGCTCTTATTGGTCTGTAATGTTGCTGCTTGACAATTGAACAGTGACCAGAAGGAGGAAAATCTGAGACTTTCACTATCTCTGTATCTAATGCTTAATGTGAGTGCATTCTCTTCCCAGCCTGGCATTTAGAAAAATTATTTTTATGCCTGTGTTACCTAAAGTAAAAGGATATATTGTCATCTGCAAAACAGGTAGGGGCAGGACTAAATTAATTTTTAAGTGCTTTAAGCCCTTAAACACAAAGTCTGTTAAGTACATACGAGATCCATTGGAAATTCTTTTCCTCTTCTGAAAAGTTAATGTTTTCAAAGAAAAAGGGAAAAGGTTTTTTTTAATAGTGTGCCTTTACAGAGAACAAAAAAAAAAACATGCAAAGTCAGTAAAAAAATGGAGTATTTCCATTGGGAGCTATTTCTTGCTGAATTTTTTATTTAACCAAACAGGATCCAAATGAAAAGATCATGAGAGAACAATTATAAACCAGCCATGGTTTGGTTAAATAAAGCACATGTCTGGATTGTCTCATTTTCTGTGTATGATTTGTTATAATTGTGAAGACATTAGCACAACAGCTCTTCTGCTAGGATCTTGGTGGTGTTCCCGAACCTGGCTGACAGCTCTTGCTTTTCAGCCAACTGCATGTGTCCGTTTGTCTTGGCGCAGAGAACTGCTGGTTCCTGGCGGCCCTGGAAGCCCTGACATTCCACCAGGACATCTTGGCTGCAGTCGTACCACAAAACCAGAGCTTTGAGAGGAAATATGCCGGCATTTTCCACTTCCGGGTACATCTGCTCCCCCAGAGTGCAGGGAGGTCTTCGTAAACCCTCTGTCATGTTTTGTGTCAGACCCTTAGATAATTTGTACGTGGTTCCCCTTAGCCAGGAGCAAGTGATCAGAAGGTATCTGGGCCTGGAGGGTAGCCCATCACCCCTCCCACAAAGTAGTGCAGCCAGTGGATCAACTACAAGCCAGTCTGAGGATATACCTCTGCTTGGCCATTCTGTCCAGCTGTACCCTACCCATATTTTAATCCAGACTTCCTACATAGTAGCAACAATCAGCAGGACTTGAGCACATCCACTCCAACCTTCTATGCTTTTACCCAGCTCTTGCTGCAACTCTGCTACCCTGCAATTAGGAACTCCTTCCCCAGAAACTCAGCTGTGCCTAATTTCCCTGCTTAATTCTTTTACACCTGATGCAGGCTTCATTTTCTCCTCTGGCAGGGTAGGGCTAAGGACTTGGCTCTGTGGGTGAGTCAGCAAATCCCATTGACCCAAAGCAGTCCTCCCCCCAGGGCAGCTTGTGCCCGCAGCTGAGCTATCTTGACTTTCCTGTTGTTTCAAGGGAGGTCTCTTCTAAGGTAAACATCAGCTCATTTCTTTCCTCTGACAGTTCTGGCACTTTGGTGAATGGGTTGATGTGGTGGTTGATGATCGCCTGCCAGTGAATGAGGTGGGGGAGCTGCTCTTTGTTTCCTCAGTCTATAAGAATGTGTTCTGGGGAGCCCTTCTGGAGAAGGCATATGCTAAGTAAGTGACTCATTCTAAGTTATGCAAATAGTCTCTTTAAAATATGTTGGTTGGTGCCTACGCAGTTTGTTCTTGTTTATAAATGCATCTCCTAGGCCTTGCCGCATTTGGAGTGTAGTAAATGGTTCTCATCTTTCTATTATTACACAGTAAAAGCTGCCACTGCAGTAGCTGTTATCGATCCAGGCCCTTGAGTTTAAATCCAAGGGTTTAGTAGTAGGCATGAAAACAGACCTGGGGGGTTGTCCTCTGAGTGTTATCGCTGTTAGGAGTGTATTGGCTAGGATGATGCCTTCCTTGTAAATACTGCAGAGGAGTGGAAGGCCACAGATAGGGATTTTCAAAAGTGAATGATTTCTGATGTCTCCTTTGATGTATTATCAGTTTGAGAAACCTTCAAGGAGTTTCATTTTGGGGATCTGCTGAAGCATTGTACTTTGGTTTTGGTAGAAGTTCCTGCTCTGGGGTCCCCCGAAGCTGAGGCATTCAGCAAGTCACATGGCACAGTGAGAATACTAGCTTCTCTCCAGGGTGTTTTGTCTAGAGTGGTTTGTCAGGACTAAGAAGAAGCAACAAGGCATAACTGATGGAGCTTGTTAATATTAGGCTGAAATAATCTCTGCAGAGCAGGGAAAAATCCAAGTTAACATTGAGAGAAAGATCACAACAAAGGAGAGAAAGTTCAGTTATTTTCATTTGGTGTTAGCATTAGAACAAAAAGACCAGAGAAAGTTGCATTGCAATGGTAAAGAAAATCAGACTGGAGACTGAGCTCCCAAGGCACTGTATCTTAGATATAGCACAGTGTCTGGTGGTAAATTCAGGCAACATTTGCTAAGGCAGAGTTATCAAAGAAGTAGTGATGGGCATATTCTCACTACTGCACAGTGGGGAGTGACAGTGAGTGACTGTCATTCAGACTGAGGCCGGTCTTGGAGGCAGTCTGCTAGATTCCCCTCTTCCTAAATGCCAAAATTCCCCTAAAATTAAACATGAGTTACAGCCTTCCTTTTGCTTTTGCAAACCTTTATTGTATGATTTCATTGGCACGCTGTTCTCAACCTACCGTCTGTGACTATAACCCTAAGAATATATTGATGTCTTTTTTTGCTAGACTCTATGGCTCCTATGAAGATCTGCAGATTGGGCAAGTTTCAGAAGCCTTGGTGGATTTTACAGGTGGTGTTAATATAAGGATCAAGCTTGCAGCAGCTCCTCCTGATCTGTGGGATATCCTGACAAGAGCAACCTACAGCAGATCTCTCATGGGCTGTCAGACACATTTAGGGGTGAGACTTCGAGTGACATCAAATGGCTTCACAGCTAAAGGCCTTTCCAGCCCTGTTTCCCTCTGCTCAGCTAGTCATTGTGACTCAAAAAGTATCAAAGCTGCCACACTTGACTTTCTGTAGAAATCACATTCTTAATGTTAAACTTTGCACATGGATTGATTCCCTGCTGCTCTCAGCTTGCTGTTGTGATGTTTGAGAACTGGTTTATCTATCAAAGACCTTCTATTAAATAAGGATCTGCTGCACTTTCCCATTTTTGTTAAATAAATTTTCCATTTTTACAGATGGTGCAGTGAGGCACAGAGACTCGTGGAATAAGCTTACAGCTAAGATAGAGAGGTGTGTAGTCTAGAACATGAATTCAAATCTTGGCTTCCAAGCCTTATGCTAACACTTCAGCTGTTGGCAAACCCTACTATTCTGAAAATCAAAATGTAACCTCCTGAACTTTTTAAAAGTGAGATTGTCTCTAGCCAAAGATCCACAGTTTAGGAAGGGACCTTCCCAATCAACCTTCCAATTCCAAGCACACTGCAAAATATGACTGTTAGGAGCTTAGACTTATTTTTTTTTATTTCAGTTCAAATCATTCTCCATTTGCTTTGAGAGTCATTGCTTACATGGGTACAGGTCTCTGGTATTGGTACGCTGTGTAAGTAGGGATAGAATAAAACGTTTCTTTTCCTTTTGTTTCTTTTCTTTGTATACAGGTAACAAAGGTTCTGGAGAATGGTCTTGTAGCTGGCCATGCCTACACAGTAATTGGTATTAGAAAGGTAAGACTAGCCCTAATGTCCTGGGTCCAGCTTTGTTCAGATGTCAGCAATTTTTATTGCAGTCATAGGTTCAACCCTTAATCAGGGCAGCTATCATATCTCCTCCCCCAATGCTCTTATTTTAGTCTAGGGCTAAAAGAGATTGCGTACTTTGTAAAGATTCACTTTCAATTGTGTCCATTTTAGTATTGTGACCTTGATGTAAAGGACAATGGTTATAGATCAGCATATCTCTAAGGGTGGGAATGATTCATAGGGCTCTGCTGAGGTCATCACTTACAAATGCATCTTAGATGTTAAGGATGAAAGGGGCTGGCCTTTGGGGATGCTGGGAGGACATGCTGAAACCTACTTGGGGTAAAAAGCCTTCCTCTGAAGTCAGAGGCCATAGAGAAGGAAAGATAATGGAATACAAGGGCCAAAATGTGAAAAACTGCAGATGGAAATCTGATACAAGGCTAAAGTAAGGGAGCCGAACTGGACTCCTGTGCATAGGGTGCAGGTGGACCCCACTGATGTGCAGAAGTATCATTGGGAGTTCCCTAAAGATATTTGTCTACAGGTAAGGGACAGTAAAATAATAGGTCCCAAAGAATGGGAGAAAGCTTGAGCTTTCTTCTCCTGGATTGATGGATGACTATCTTGTCCAGCCTCAAAAGGAGGTTGACAAGGATGGCAAAGGACTTTGTGGGGCTTTGGACATATGATACAGATGTGCATGAAAGTACGTTCAGTACCTCTAGCAAGAGATACTAGGAGAGCTGGAAGAGATACTATGAGCTGGATGATGCATGCCTGTGTCTCCCACACAGAGCAGGAGGGTCCTAGGTATGGACTTTATCAGTGACATGTCTGTCAGTCTGGCTCCTCCGATGGGATGAAGAGCCAGGCAGGAGTAAGGGACTGACCGAGCATGTGGAGCTGGTGTGAAGTCAGCCGTTCTGCTGTATGCTGCCAGCAAAGGCCTTAGTTGGCCTGGCTCCCTCTTCTCCCACCATGGCATCCTGGTTCAGGAGGCACTAATCTATGTGGTCACCCCATGGGCTGCATTGTGCTGTGCCATTGCAGTGGGGTAGGACTTAGCTTTCAAAGTAGTACAGTCCTGCCCCTAGATAAGCACAAAATGAGCAGGTGTTGGAACAGAAGAGGAATTTACTGTCAAGACTCCAGATTAGGAATCATGAGGTCTCTGGTTTCAGTTATAGAAGGTAGGATAAAGCATCTTAATCTCTTTGTGCCGGCATTCAGAGTTGCATGTTCATAGATTTTTATCATCATACTTGCTGACATCTATGAGAACAAACAAAATCTTTGTTAATATCTGGCATATTACAGTGATATAAACTAGATGAGAACTGCAGAGACCTTGGTAAGCACAGCATTACTGTTTTCTGCAGGTGACATGTCAATATGGACCAGAAAACCTAGTGAGACTGAGAAATCCATGGGGAAAAGTTGAATGGAAAGGAGACTGGAGTGACAGGTGAGTTTAAATAAGGAAAGGTCTGATGCTGAGTGGGAGGAAAGGTTTCTTGGAGGAAAGATGCTGCCATCTTCAGGCATGAATTAGTGCTGAGAGCAGCATTAAGAGAAGTAACAGTTGCTTGCACAGACCCTCTGGTGTCAAAGCAATGACTCGATAGATTTGTATTTCTCCAGCAGATAGTGCTCATGTAGTTGGGCTCACTTCACACATGCAGCTTCAACAAGCTCGGTTCTGCTTTTCCATTCACTGAATGCCAGAGGAAACATAATATGAACACGGGACGCTGAGCACGTTACTGTGATCTGGATGGCATGCAAAGTGACAGATAGCTGTGCAGGAGGCTCTAAACAAACAGAGTGTTTCAGTGCACGCAGCCCTTCATCACAGGAGGGAGCGTGCAAAGTCCTCCACGGGCTGCAAAGTGTTGGAGTTGGGTGGCCGCGAAGGAGTCCTCTGTCCTGGCTGTTTGGGGAACTACAATTGTGTATAGGATCAGAGGAAGCAACTAATGAGGCAAACAGGCCCTGTATTTACATCTACCTGAATTTTTTTATTGTGATCCATGAAGGACAGTGGTTTGCATTCTAGACCATGGGCAACTGTAGATGTGTCCTATTCCTCTTTGAAGTGGAGCATGTTCCTTCCAAGCTTCACTTCATTCCCTGCACAGACCCTGTTTGCTGAGGCTGGGGAGGAGGGAAGAGCACAGGGAGGTGCTGGGAATGAGAGTGACTTTCACCTTGTCTGCAGAGCAGTAACTTCTCTGATGTGTGTCTGTCACATAATGACAACATACCAGCTGTTCCTGTTGAAGAGCATAATGAGCAACATACTGTAGGCCTGCCTTTTAAACGACTCCCAGCTGCCTCTTGTGCTGTCCTAGTCATTCATTCATTATGCCAAAC